GATTCTGTCAGACTCTGAAAATCCCTTTCAGGGCTATCATGGGATTTAGAGCAATGACTAGAACTAGCTAGAGTAAGAATGTGTATTAAATTAATGTTGTTGTTGTTCTTAAGTGCCGTCAAGTCGCAGGCAACTCATAGGGACCCTATGAAGAAGAGTCCTCAATGCTTGGGTGTCTCTCATCCTCTCTCCAGGTTCATAGGGTTTCTGGAGGCAAGCTATTATGGAAGTGGATGCCACTCCTCCTTCCAAGCTTGTTTTAATCGGGGAGCTCCACCCCACTCTCTGTCCGCATTGGGTAACCAGCCATTAACGTATTTTGACACATCAGTGTCACAGTGTTCAGCCTCACGGCAACCACAAGTTACCCGCAGTACGGCTATACGACCTAGAGGAATGTCTGAACAAAATAGGTGAAGGAGACCTGATGACATAGTGTGTAACATATTGGGCTCCTAAACAAAAGATTGGCAGTTTGAATCCACCAGGTGCTTACTCCTGGGGGAAAAAGATGGTCTCCTCACCTATCTGGATTGACAGCTTCAGAAACCCAATGGAGGATCACCATGAGTTGAAATCAACTTGGGTTTGGTTTTGAGACTTTTGTAGGGAGCTCTGGTGCATGGTCTCTAGAAAGTCGTGCTGCTGACCCAAAAATGAAGAACCTCTGGCAGTTTGAATCCACCAGCTGCTCTTCAGGAGAAGGATGGGCAGTCTCCTTCCATTGTCATTTGTTGTTGTTGTTGATTGCCATCAAGTCCAGCATGACTCATAGTTGACTCTATGAACAAAAGGCCTGAAACCTTTCTATAACTTGTAATTTATCAAAGTTAATAGAGTTTCCAGAGGCATGTTGTTTAGGATGTGGATGCCACGCCTGCTTTACAGCATGGAAACCTGATGGAGGGTCACTATAAGCTGGAACCAACTTGGCAATGAGTTTGAGTTTTTTGAGGCTGATGGGTTAGGAAAAGAGACAGAGATAAGATGTGAACCCAGGCACTATAGAACATTAACTTCTTTGTGAAAGCCATAGATAGTGAACACTTGTACTAACAAGGAAGCTCTGTTAACATTGTTAGGTAAATATCAGTAAAGAATATTTCTTAGAAAGTCAGGACTCTTAGTTTCCTCTGTTACTTGATCTTGGAAACACAATTCTTTCGTCCTCCATGGTCTCACGTCCCTGAAGAGAGCTACAATACAAACACAGGACAAACCTATTATGCTTAAATATTGTTTAGAATCAGATTCTTTCAATTCTCCAGAAGGATTTTTCTTGCTCAAATCAACAGTACTTCTCCAGGTTTGCAAGTTACTAGGCAGAATTTCAGAACTTCCCATCTTTGATGCCATCTGCCACTAGAAAAACAAATTTCAAGTTGATGTCCCATTGCTCACAAGGAGATCTATCCTTTTTATATTCCACATAGATACAAGAATCCTCTTTTTTAAGAAAAAAAATAATTTTTTCCCCTTTGCTTCATTATTATCCCATCTGGATGCCACTCACCCCTTCATTGAATAAAAATAAATAAATACTTGCATGCTTATTGCATGCAAGAGTCGTCTTGGTAAGGCTGAACCCAGAATCACCCTGTATCTTCTTCCAGTTGCACAAATCCTTCCTCTTGTTCACATTACCACGGCAACCTCTCTTCATCTTGCTTTTTTTGAAATATGAATTACCAAAGTTATAGGATTAACAAATATCCTTTCAGTGTTACTTCCCCACTAGGTAGTTTCCAATTACCAATGGAGCTAATAAGATATAAAGATAATATGACTTTTCAAAAAACACAGCTATTGTTTTTAAAGTTCACTTATAATTCATCCCAGAATGAATTAAATGATATTGATTCTCCTTACTATTTTCTCTCTTTCTTTTGATGGTCCTTGACAATTACCTGGACCTTATGTAACACTTCTACCCCAGCCTGTAAGTTCTCATATTTATGACTCACAGTTCCTACCTTATTGCAAAATACTGATGGTAAGTGCTCAATGATCACTAATTGTCTAACTGAAATAATAACTGCTACGATGGGAAGAATTTGCTGTCCTGCAGTACCAGATTTTCTAGGATGATCCAATATCATGAATCCTAACAATTGAATATGAGGCAGTACAACATAGTAGCTAAGTGTTGGAGTTCTGGCACTAGACTGTGGATTTTAATGTCAGTAGTGTTTAATACCAGCCATGTGATCTTAAATCAATTAAGTACCTAATTTCTCTGTGGCCAAATCATAAATGTGCAATATGAATAATGTTCTTGTTTGTGGTAAGGATTAATTAAATTCATCTACATAAAATTCTTGGGAAATTGCCTGGCATATAACAAACAATATATATCAATACACATAGAGCTCTGTTGACCTAGTGATAAGTGCTGCCCACCCAGAGATAGTTCAAATTCACCAGTTGCTCCATGGGAGAAAGATGAGCAATCTCTTTTTATGTGATTTACAGCCTCTGAAAACCCACTGGAGTGTCAGCTGTGAGTGAGTTTTGACTTGATAATATGCAAAAACAACAACATATGCCCTGGTTGTATAGTGTATCACATATCGGGCTGTTAACCAATGGTCAGTGGTTTGAAACTACTAGCTGCTCTTTGAGAGAAAGATAGACAGTCTCCCCTCTGTAAAAATTTACAGCCTAGGAAACCCAATGGAGGGTGATTATGAGTCAAAATCAACTTGATGGCAGTGTGAGAGTGAGAGTGGTATATATACTAATCATACAACACACACATACACTCTGAGATTATATATATACACACACACATATATCTATATCTATATCACCCATATATTTATTCCCTGGTATGTGTGTATGTGTATGTATATATATATATATATATACATATATATATATATATATAAAATTCCATATATATGTATATGTGTATATATATATATTCCCATGTATGTGTGTGTATATATATTCCCATGTATGTGTGTGTGTGTATATATATATACACCATTCATATACTCTTATATATGTAAATATGTCACTCATATATATATATATACCCCATTCATATACTCAAATATATAAATGTCACTCATATATATACTTCTCATATATATATCTCATATATATTACTCATGTAACAACAATATAGATATTTGCCATCGTTCATCCCTATTAAGCTATTAGTATTGTTTTTGTCAGTTGTTCTCCAGTCAAAATTTGGACTCTTGATGACCCATATGTGTGGAATGTATTTCATAGGGTTTTCAAGATTATGAACTTTTAGGAGCAGACTTTATTTCTGACGTACCTCTTGTTAAACTTGAACTAGCACTTTGAACTTGTTTGAATTGGTTCAGTCATGGCTGAGGAAATGAAACTGGGAATAGACCCAAATATTTAAAATTTGAGTGTTCTGGAATGCTAATCAGAATAGTAAAAATGGGTAAAAGCCCTAGAATGGGAAACTAAAAAAAAAAAAGCGTAGTGAGCTATTTCATGAGCCTGATGCCAGGACTGTGAAGAGTTAGGTGACACACATTTAAATAGCAGTTGATCATCATATTTGAGCTGTGCACCATTTTCCACTCAGTTGGTCAAGAGATTTGGTTGCTATTCAGTGTACTCCCTGCTTTTGTTTTCTAAAAGGGATACTAAATTTGTGATGGGGCTTTGACTTTAATTTTTCCGGTTAGAGTATTTGGGTCTTTGCCAGCGTGGCTCTCTTGGCTGTGACTGGACTGGTTTAAACTGGTTTAGAGCCTTGAACAGACACTCTATTAGTAGTCTGGCACTTAACTACTTGAACTACCAGGGACTCGAGACTATTAGTAAATGAATTAACACAAACGTGCATTTTTTGAAATGAGAAATTATTTTATTGGTCCATGTGTCTTTTACTTTAGTAAATATGCTGTTTTTTAAACAGGTTATTTTTTTATTTTATTAATTTTAATGAACATTTACAGAGATTTTAGATTTGCATTCATTCATTGTTGCACTATTTTCTCTACCCTCCCCCCCCCCCCAGTAAATGTTTTATACTGACCGGTCTATTCTGGCTCAGAGTAATCCTATAGAATAGAAAATTCCCTACAGAATTTCATAGGTTATAATCTTTACAGGAGCAGATCACCAAGACTTTTCTCCAGTGGAGAGTTAAGGAATTAGAACTACCTACTTATTGGTTAGCAGCCGAGCCCTTTAACCATTGTGCTACTAGGTCTTCTCAGTAAATATTCAGTGCTTTCCAGACAACTCCAATTTACAACGACCCTACATACAATAGAATGAAACACTCTCTGATCCTGTTCCATACTTAACATTTCTGCTATGCTCCAGCCCATTGCTGCAGTCACTGAGTCAGTCTATTTCATTGAGGGTCTTCCTCTCACTGACACTATTTATTTTGGTTGCTTCCCAATCTGAGGGCCTCATTTTCTGGTACTATATCAGATAATGATCTGCTGCTAATCAAAGGCCTATTATTGCATGGCTAAAACACAGTTCTAATTAATTTCTATAATCTGACAGTATGAAAACGTGTTCTTCATGTGGTACAAAAGGAGCATTAGGGCTCAGGTTTAAGGTTATAGTTATACAGTATACTGAACCTACTCATTCTCTTCTTTTCTGGAGTTCCAGTACCTTCAACCTACTCCCAGCATAGAAGAAAAGCACTTGTCACAGAGCTCTCTGATTTCAAAGCGGAAATAACTCGTCTTTATTTAATGAATGGAAACAAGGCGCAGCATACAGACTGCAGCGATTTCAGAGAATCCTGTGCGCACGCGCGCTAGGGCTTTCGGGCAAAGTTCCCGGCGCGTGACAGCCGTGCGTTCCGCCCTACGCCCCCTACTATTGAATAACGCATGCGCAGCCCTTCCTTCTCTCTCCACGCGCACGGGCGCGCCCGCGGAGGGCGCGCTCCCTGGAAAATTCCACTTCTGAACTAGCTCCACCCTCTGAACCTCCTCCTCCTCCTCTTCCTCCTCCTCCTCCTCCTCCTCGGGGGCCCCACGCTCTTCACGTTCAGGTCCCATCCCAGCAGCCTTTGCGAACGAAATGGCAGCCCCCGTCCTGCAAGGCTTGTGTCGTTTATCCAAGCCTTTGAGCTGTTGGTCACGGCAGGTGGGTAGGAATTGAGCTGACAAAAGCCAGCACGCTGGACGAGGAAGGCAGAGTAGGGGGTTAATATCGTTTTGCTGTTGTCTTTAGTGAGATTAGAGGCCACCAATCAGATCTAGGCTAAGGAAGTTCGAAATACGAGGCCCTGTTACGAGTTTAGCGGCTGAGTGGAGAGAACTAGTGTGAGCCGCGAAGGCTTGCGAGTTCACATGATTAAATTTCTCCAGTTTATTTGCTCTCATTCCGTCTGACGGAGAGATGTTAAAGATTTGGAAGTTGACCTCCCATATTTCGATTACTTGTGAATGTCCCAAACTGAAGAGCTTGGAAGGAGGGTCTGGCTGGTATCGTCCCAAGCAAACCTCATATTCAGAGATTTTTTTTTTTTTAAAGGCCTCTAGACTTGTAAAGACTTTATTAGGTCATATAGAAAGTAGAATGGCACAAAAAAAGCTGTCAGTGAGCCTCCCAGCAGAATACTGTTTAGTCCGGTCAAGTCAACTGCGACTCAGTAGTAACCCTATGACAAGATAGCTGAACCGTACCCAATCTTGCACCATCCCCAGGGGCTTTAGCATGTTCACATCCATTGTGTTTGTCACTGTGTCAGTCCATCTCATGGGTCCCCTTTTTTGCTGATCTTGCTTTCCCAGCATGATGTTTCTAACAACTGGTTGAAATCTGACCATCCTTGCCTTTAAGGAGTACTCTGGTTGTACTTCCTTAAAGACAGGTCTGTTTGTTCTTTTGGCAGTCCATGGGATATTCAGTAGTCTTTTTTATTTTATTTTTGTTTTATTTTATTATTTTCTCTGTTTGTGTACCATCAAATTGGATCTGACTGGTACAGGAGGAGATGGCCCCTTTTTCTCCGGCAGAGCATCTGGTAGATTCGAACCACATATCTCTGGGATTGCAGTGCAGCTTCTTGCCACTAGGCCACCAGAGCTCCCCTGGGATATTCAGTAGTCTTAAACACAAGAATTTGAAGGCATCAATTCATCGTCTGTCATCCTTATTCATTGTCCAACTTTCAGATGCATGAAGCATTTGGAAAAAACATGGCTTGGATCAAGTGCATCTTTGCTTTTAAACTGATGTCATTGCTCTCTCCATAGCACTTTGGAGGTACCCTTGACAAGAAATTTTCCAAAAGCAAAGTGTGATTTTTATTTATTTATTTATTTATTTTAATTGTTGGACCATGGGTGTTGATTATGGATCCAAGTAAAAGGAAATCCTTGACAGCTTCAGTTTTTCTTTATCATGATGATGGTGCCTATTGGTCCAGTGGTGAGAAGTTTTTGTTTTGTTTTGTTTTGTTTTTCTATAATTATATTTTATTAATTTTCATAAACATTTACAGAGATTTTGGGTTTCCATTCATTCATTGTTGCACTATTCTCTCTACCCTCCTCCCAGTTTGTTCTTGTCCAAATGCCACAGTGCTTGTCAAAGCCAGTTCTGATTAATCTTCTTTGTCAGTGTATCTTTTGCCATTCCCTATCACTCCTCCCTGAGAGAGTCTTCTCCCTGAGTCATAAGGAAAAGGGGACGGCGTATTCTCTTAGTTACTTCCTGCTGAAAAGGGACGCTGTGGGTTTCAGGGTGAAGATCTTCTCTCACTACTCTAAAGGGCCCCTTTGGCAGTAGGAAACACATAGACTATTATGGAGATTGATTTTGGAATTCAGATGCACTCTTATTGATTGTGCTTGGCCGTATATGTTCATATCCTTCAAGATGTATCATGGGGGTGTTGCAACCTAGAAGACACAAATTTGACTAACAAGTTATAAGTACATGAGTCCAAAAATTATGGAAAAGTAAAAGAAAAGATTCTTTCATTGTTTTACAAACCCTCCCCCAGGTCCCCTCCACCATGCAGCCCTCGCTCTAGTCTCCTGTGATGACAGAAATACCCAGTTACATCTCTCTTTTAGACGGTTCTCTCCCTCCTCTGCTTCAGTGCAGTATACATTATTGAACCCATCTTACTCAGTGTCTCCCTAACCCCAAGGACAGTCCCATTCTACAACAGTGGCATCATGTAATATTTGTCCTTTTGTGACTGGGATATTTCACTCAGCATAATGTTCTCCAGAGTCAACCATTTTGAATAATATTGCATGAGTTCCTTGTTTTTTAATGCAGCATAGTATTCCATTGTGCGAATATACTAGTGGTGAGAAGTTTTGTTTTCTTGATGTTGAAATGTAATCCATACTAAAGGCTGTAGTATTTGCTCTTTTGCAGCAAGTGCTTTAAAGTCTTTTTCACTTCTCAAGCAAGGTTGTGTCATGTGCATAGTGCAGGTTGTTGATTAATAATCATCAGAATGAGCAGTATATAAATGTGGAAGAGGTACCGAGAGAACGTTGCTCATTTCATTATTTGATGTTAAAAGCCTTTGAATCAGCTTCAACTCATAGTAACCCAACTCTGTCCAATCCTGTACCATCCTTATAATCTCTGCTGTGCTTTAAACCTATTTTTATAGTCACTGAGCCAGTCTGTCTCATTGAGTATTTTTCTCTTCTTTGCTGACCCTCTCCTTTTCCAAGCACAAAGTCTTACCATCCTTACTTTAGTTAATGCTTAAATTCCCTCACTAGATTGAAAGTCCTCGGAAAGCAGAAACTTTGTGCTAATCAACTTTGTATCCATAGGTGTTAGAAAAGTACGTAGAAGGCCTTTAGTAAATGCTGAGTGATGTTAGAGTGGTTGCTTTCTGGTTATTATTTTTTTTTAAGAAGATGATCTATTATTTATTGATCTTAGTCACAGACATATTTCCTGCTTCTATATTTAAATCTGTGGTTTGGCTGGTTGTTATTAAGAGGCATGTTGTTAGGTGCTGTCAAGTCGTTTGCGATTCACAGTGACCCTATGTACAATAGTCCTGACACCTGCTTTATCCTGTGCGAATTTTACTGTCTCTAACATACCTACCCTCATTAACCTAGTCACTGAATCAGTCCATCTCATCGATGGTCTTTCTCTCTTTCTCTGCCTCTCCACCCTTCCAAGCATGATGTCCCTCTCCAAGGACTGATCCCTCATTGCAACATGTCCAAAGTATGTCAGGCAAAGCCTTAGAATCCTTGCCTTCAAGAGCAGCCTGGTTTCACCCTCTCTATGGCAAACCTGTTTGTTCTCCTGGCAGTCCATAGCATATTCAACACTCTTCTCCAGCCCACAGCTCAAAAGAGCATCACAGCTCTTTCTATCATCCCTAGTCATTGTCCAGCTCTCTGACACATAGAAAGCAATTGCAAAGAGATTGACCTGGATGAGGTGTACCTTAGTCTCCAGACTGATGTCATTGCTCTTCAGTACTCTGGAGAGGTCCCTGATAGTCGACTTTCCCAGTGTAATTCTTCTTTTGATTTCCTGGCTCCTGGTACCAAGAGTGTTGATTGTGGAGCCAAGCAAACTAAAGCGGTTAACAATCTCAATATCTTCACCATCATAATGCTGCCAGTCTGCCCAATGCATAGATGAATATTAAGGTAGTACCCAAGGTGCATTTCCCTGCTTGATGTAATAGAATTGTTCTTAAGTAATTTCTCTCTGTATGCCCTTTCTATAAGGCTTTGTTTATAGTTTGCTCATGATAGTAGAGGTTTTTCAGATTATTTGAACCTTTTCCTTGCCTTCTAGCCAGCCCTGGTTGCTCAATCCATAGCTGTAGTTCCAGTAAGAACTAAAAAACGTTTCACACCTCCTAATTATGAGCCTAAATACAAGTCACAGAAGGAATTTATAGAACACGCTCGGAAAGCAGGCTTGGTCATTCCTCCGGAACGTTTGGAACGTGCCAAACATCTGGCCTGTACAGGTGAGGCATTGTATTTCTGGAGTCCTGATCCAAAGCCCCTTTTGCCACATATTTTATGGAAAGTACAATGATTTGGACTATGCATAACAGCATTTAATTAATCCTGAAGTAAGTTGAACCTCAATTATCATTGACTTTATGTCTTCCATATTTTATGAGGCCTTCTTTTATCTTGATTTTATACTATTTCTAGAAAGCAAGGATGAAATCTCCCCTTGTGGAAGTACAAATTGAGAGACTCTGAGAAAAGATCAGAATTGTTTTATTCTTTTTTGTAATGTGTTTTCCTCTACATAAAGTCTGTTGCTTTAGTCTCTTTTATATTCAGAGTTGTTCCCAGTGTTCTAGACCTCAAGATGATTTTCCCTGCCCTCTTTTCTCTTCAATCTTTCCTCACTTCTTTGTTTTCTCCTCTTGTTACAGCTGGTATTTTTGATACCTATGTTCCTCCGGAGGGTGATGCTCGAGTATCATCTCTTTCAAAGGAAGGACTGAAACAGAGAACTGAGAGATTGAAGAAGAATGTGGCATCACAGTTGTCGTAAGTATCTGAAACAACTGGGAAATTAAAATAAAGAGTTATTGCTGTTATTTTGTGCCAGAGAGATCTTCTTAAGGTGATTGGGTTGATATAAATTTCTTGATAATTTGACAGCAGTTTCTTTCTCTAAAGTACTTTTTCTTGTTAGCTGCTGTCAAATTGCTTCTGACTGATAACTACTTCTGTGTAGGACAAAATGAACCATTGGTCCTGTACCATTCTCACAGTTGCTATTGTGTTTGAGCCCGTTATTGTAGCCTCGATGTCAGTGCATCTTGTTGAGAGTCATCGTCTTTTTTTTTTACCCTCTGTTTTACTAAGCAGGAAGTCTTTTTTCATCTCCTGATAGATAATTTGTCTCAAAGTGAGACAGTCTCAATGTGAGACAGTCTCATCTCATCACCATAGTCATTTTTTTAAAAAAAAATATGGAATGCTTCACACATTTGTGTGTCATCCTTCCACAGGGGCCATGCTAATCTTCTCTGTATCATTCCAATTTTAGTATATTTGCTACCGAAGCAAGCACCATAGTGACTTTTAAAAGGAATATTTAGCTACATTTCTTCCAAGACAGTTTTGTTTGTTCTTTTATCAGTTCATAGTATATTCAGTGCTCTTCAGTAACACATTTCAAAGGCATCAGTTCTTTGCTTCTTCTTATTCATCATCCAACTTTCACAGGAATATGAGTCAATTGAAAGAGGTTCTTAAATACAGAAAACTCTGGTCATTCTGATTATTTGCATCTCAGTCTTGACAGTAATATTTTTGCATCAGCTAAGAAATTGATGTTGGAATTCATAGAAGTCTTTCCTGGTCACATACTTCAAAGTTTTTAATAATGAAAGAGAACCAACTTGTCTGAGAATCAAGTATCTTAGAGAGTAAACTTTAGAGAGCAGAGGAATCAGAAAATGGTCAAGGAGACAGACCTGTTCTAGGGCAGTAACTGAGCCTTAGATAATAGGCATAAGCCTGAACCCTCTTTTCATTTTATTTTTATTTGAAAAAAGAACCCTAGTGGCATGGGAAGTTAAATGTTGGAGGGTAAGCCAGAAGGTTGGAGATTTAACCCATCATGTCAGCTGCTTCAGGAGAAAAAGATGAGACAGTCTTCATTTAAGATTTACAGCCTTGTCAAATCCACCAGATGCTCTGCCGGAGAAGGAGGGACAATTTCCTCCTGTACCAGTCAGATTGATTTGACAGTACATGCACAAAAAAAATAATAATAAAATAAAAATAAAAAAAAAATATTTACAGCTTTGGAAACCTGAATAAGCGAGCTTAAGTCCTAATTCACTCAGTAGCAGTAAGTAGTTTGGATTTATTTGAAAAGACAAAACAGTTTCTCTCTAGCTCTTTATCTAAAATATTTTTAGGGTTTTTATAGGCATGATGGTTAGGAAGTGAATGCCACTCCTGCTTCCAAAAAAATGTTTGATTTGTATAAAAACAACGAACTACTTTTAGATTCATTCTGTTTATTAAAACTTTGCTTTTGCTTTTAAGAGAACATTTAAGAGCTTTGATGGTATACTCACTCCATAGTGTGCTGCACTGATAACCGGGAGGCTGGGTGTCTCCAGCATATAGAAATGCTTCAGGCCTTTTATTCATAGGGTCACTATGCGTTGTGCTTGATGTGAGGACAGTCAGCAATAGGCGTGCATAATTCTGCTGAGCTAAGGTTAATTCATCATGTGGCCATAACTTATTTTTTAAAATACATCTTAGGAGATTACTTTCTCTGTTTAAAACTCTGGCTTTCTATGATCTTAAGAATTAAATCTGCAATTGTTCAGTAACATTCAAAGTTCTCTTAACCTGGCACTTGTCTTCTCTTTCACCATCTCCTGCCCTGTTACTTCCTTTTTCCTCCCATAAAACAGAGCTCTGACGGCCTACTACTAAGAAACTGTACTTCAGTCCCAAAGACATACAGTTCGAATCCACCAGCTGCTCCATGGGAGAAAAAAGAGCAGTCTCCTCCTTTGTGATTTACTTTCTCTGAAAACCAGCTGCAGGGTCAGCTATGCTTTGGTTATGACTCAGCCGCAGCACACAAAACCACCATCACCATATACTTCAGCATTTCTAAGCTAATTGCAGTTCTTGACTATACTGAGTCACACCTCAGTGCCTGTAAACTCTTTACTCTGCCTGAAAATGTAATTATTTTTTTTTTGTGCGTGTACCATCAAATCGCATCTGACTGGTACAGGAGATTGCCCCTCCTTCTCCAGCAGAGCACCTGGTGGATTCGAACCACAAACGTCTGGCATTGCAGTTGCAGCTTCTTGCCACTAGGCCACCAGAGGTCCCTCTGAAAATGTCTTTTTCTGGCTCCCTTTCTTTATAGAGTAATTGCAGTTTATTCCTCATGACTTAATTCATCATAGAATAACTAACAGCACACCATCAAAAGGGTAGCATTTGCCAAAGGAGAAAACCCAGAAGACAGGAAAGAATAGGATAGAAAATGGAAAGAGAATCAAAGGGAGACAATGACAAGACTGTATTTACATTGTGGGTGTTGTGACTAATGTTATAAAGCACAAAGTGTATGAATGATGGCATGGAAAACCAATTTGTAGACTTCCATTCAAATCACAATTAAAAAGCAAAACAAAAATGACTGATTCAGTCATCATGTCCCTTTTTAAGCTGCCTGTTGCTCCTTTTAGGGGAGCTCTGATGGTATTGTTTCTAGGAAGTAACTTTAGGTTGCTAACCTAAAGATAGTTCAAATCTACCAGCAGCTCTTTGCGAGAAAGATGGGAAGTCTCCTCCTCACCTATTTGTAACCTCTTAGCCCTGCTGATGGATCAGTTATGAGTCAGTTCTGATTCTGTGGCTGTGGACTTGAGGTTTGGAGCTATTTCTACTATAATTTTGGAGCTATTTCTACTATAATTTTGGAGCTATCTCTAATATAATTGTGTAACTGATTCTTATTCATTCTAATAAATGTGTTTCCGTGGTTTTCTTTCACTTACATTGTCACTTAGAGGAAGAAAACGGTCATAAATATTGATTGTATGCAATGAAGTTATTACTTGAATAGTTAAAAGTACATGGGCTGAAGGGGCTTATGACAGGGAAGCATAGCTTGATCTGAGAGGTCAGGAAAGGCTTTCTGAAGGAAATTACAATGAAAACAGACCAGAATGATTGTTAGTTAGGTAGAGGATGTAGGAGCAGTAGTATTCTAGAGAGGTAAGATAGCATAAGGGAAGACTCTGAGGTTGAAAGAACTTAGCAAATTCAAGGAGCAGAAAGAACCCAAAGTGACTGGAGAAGTAAGTAGATGAGTGGAATAAAAATAAAGCTACAGAGAGGGTCAAAGAGATGGGACCATGTTATTCTGACTAGTATTCCTTTGACTATTAGAATACCACATAGTTTAAACTAAGAAAGGGTGTACCCCAAGGTTGTGTCCTATGTGCCCACCTTTTCAATCTATATGCATCTGGGAGGCTGGGCTCTGTAAGGAGGAATGTGGCATCAGGATTGAAGGAAGACTGATCACAACCTGCTTTATGCAGATGACACAACCCTGCTTCCAGAAACTGAGGAGACCTGAAGGGCTTGCTGCAGCCTTCAGTACAGATTGCATCTCAACATCAGGAAAACAAAGATTCTCACCTCTGTCCAATTAGCAGCATCATGGTAGATGGTGAAGAGATTGAGATTGTTAACAGCTTCCATTTGCTTGGCTCCACAGTCAACACTCTTGGTACCAGCAGCCAGGAAATGAAAAAACAAATGGCATTGGGAAATTCTGTTGATGTCAGGAACCACTCCAGAGTACTTAGGAGCAGTGATGTCATTCTGGAGACTAAGGTGCACCTGATCCAGGCCATGATCTTTGCAATTAACTTGCTGTGCATCAGAAAACCGGACAATGACTGGGAATGGTAGAAGGAGAATTGATGCCTTTGAGCCGTAGTGCTGAAGAAGAATATTGAAAAACCATGGACTGCTAGGAGAACAAACAAATTTGTCTTGTTGTTGTTGTTGTTATGTGCCATTAAGTTGCCTGCGACTCATAGCGAACCTATGTACAACAGCCCTAAACTCTGCTCTGTCCTGTGCCAATCACACTGTCTCCAACACACCCGTCCCGATTACCCCAGTCACTGAATCAATCCACCTCAAAGAGGGTCTTCCCCACTTGCGCTGTCCCTCTACCCTCCCAAGCATGATGTCTCTTTCCAAGGACCGGTCCCTCCTTACAAAGTATGTCAGGTAAAGCCTCAGAATCCTTGCCTCCAAGGAGCTGCCCAGTTTAAACCTCTCCAGGATGAACCTGTTTGTCTTCTTAGCAGTTCATGGTACATTCAGTACTCTTCTCCAGCACCACAGCTCAAAGGCATCAATTGTCCTTCTATCCTCCCTAGTCATTGTCCAACTCTCTGACGCATAACAAGTGACTGCAAAGACCATAGCCTGTATCAGATGCACCTTAGTCTCTAGAGAGACACCATTGCTCTTCAGTAGTTTGAGAGATCCCTAACAGCAGACTTTCCCATCGCAATATGCCACAAACTGTGGCTGACTCTGAGAATGGGAGTCCCAGAACACTTGATCATACTAACGCGAAACCTATAATTGGACCAAGAGGCAGTCATCAGAACAGAGCAAGGAAACACTGCATGGTTCAAAATTGGGAAGGGCATACGCCAGGGATGTGTCCTGTCTCCATACCTTTTCAACCTATATGCAGAACAGATTATCCGGGAGGCTGGACTCTATGAGGAGAAATGTGGCGTCAGGATTGGTGGAAGATCTATCGACCATCTGCGTTATGCAGATGACACAACCCTGCTTGCTGAAACTGAGGAGGACCTAAAGTGCTTGCTACAGATGATCAAGGACTGCAGCCTTCAATATGGATTGAGGCTCAATGTCAAGAAGACAAAGATTCTCACCACTGGACCAATTGGCAGCATCAGGATGGATAGTGATTGTTCACAGCTTTAGTTTGCTTGGCTCCACGGTCAACACTCTTGTCAACAGCAGCCAGGAAATTAAAAGGTATATTGCGATGGGAAAGTTTAACGTAGAGAGTGTAAAACCAGGCTGCTCCTTGGAGACAAAGATTCTGAAGCCTTGTCTGACGTACTTTGAACATGTTGCAAGGAGGGACCAGTCAGAGGGCCATCATGCTTGAGAGTGTGGCGAAACAGCACATGAGAGAAAGACCCTCGTTGAGATGGATTGATTCAGTGGCTGAGGTAATGGAGATAAGTGTGTCAGAGACAATAACGTTGACACACAGGATAGAGCAGGGTTCAGAACTGCTGTACATATGGTTGCTATAAGTCATAAGTGACTCAACGGCGCATAACAATTCTTTTGAATGAAACGGATTTTTCTTAATGGTTGTAGCATATTTAATTTTAGAAATACGAAATTTCACCAGAAAATTTTGTTCTTCCTTTAAAATGATTGATTTAAGATAGAGGGTTGAATTTATAGGCCTTGACACATTTAATTGACTAATTGAACAGAAATTACTAGTGAATGTTAGTATAAGCTGAAATCGTCTTTAGAAATTATTTTTGTGCTTAACTTTACAGAATCCAGAAGATAAAAGAATATGATGCAAATTTTAAAACAGCAGATTTCCCTGAAAAAGCTAAAGATATCTTCATTGAAGCTCACCTTTGTCTAAACAAGTAAGTGGCCTCCCTGTCCTTTACTTATTCTGCCTTCAGCAACTGTTAGGTGTCACACAGATTATTTTTTTTTAAACAAGAGTTCCAGAGTGAGAGTAGTTTCTGTGTGGGAAATGATTTAGTGACTGAAGCCGTTTTTATCTCCTTTCCTATCTTCTGGAACCTTTCACAGTTTAATCTGTTCCAGCTTAACCATCAGATTTTGGGTCTCTGCTGGACTAAATCCCGTTTTCACCACACTCAGTCCTCTCATTCATTCTGGTCCTTCTCTTTGCTTTTATTTGTATATATTTGTATGCAAATTGTATATATTTAAATCCTCTCAATACATTTGAGATACAATTTCAGTAAATTTATATATAAATTGTATACATATCAGTCCTCTCATTCCATCTTGGTCCTTTCTGCATGTTTTTATTACTTTTATATATAAGCTTTTTTTAAAAGATTTCTGACTTTTTTTTTTTTATTCAGCAAAAGGGGAAAAAATCAGAGCTGCTAGGGAGATAAGAAACCTGCCAGGAGTGATCATAAGTCTTTAGACTATTCTAGCATTCTTGGAATGGTGGCTAGGCTTCATGTAGGATGATTTCTTTTTACTTTTATTTCTTTAAGAAAAATGAAATTATGACATTAAATAATTCACATGTAGAAAAGTACCTGTGTTAATGCAAGTTTATATTTTGCTATATTTGCTTCAAAATCCCTTTATTTGAAACTAGGAGAAATAAAACTATAGATATAGCTACTTTCATTGTAAAGTATTAGTCTTGGTATTATTTTCATATTTTTATTGTATATATGTATGTAAACAATAATAATATGTAGTATTGTTTTATGTATTTTAAATTTTTACATGAATGATGCAATTATATATTCTTATGAAACCTGTTTTCTTTTTTTTTTTAATTTTTTTATTTTATTATTTTTGTGTGAGTGTACCGTCAAATCAGATCTGACTGGTACAGGAGGAGATTGTCCCTCCTTCCCCGGCAGAGCATCTGGTGGATTTGAACAGTGCACCTCTGGGATTGTAGTTGCAGCTCCTTGCCACTAGGCCACCAGAGCTCCCTGAAACCTGTTTTCTTTTATTGCCTTTTTATTTCTATTTTTTTTTACGATGTTATTTTTAAATATTTTTTTACTATTTTTTTTTCTTGTTCTCTTTTTATTTATTAAATTGGGTTTTCTTCTTCCTTTTTTTATTCCTTCCACATATTTAGAAATAATACCTTTTCTTTCTGTTCTCTTTAAATCATCTCATCTAGTTTTTTTGTTTGGGTTTTTTGTTTTTGGGGTGTTTTTTTTTTAAATCTTCTGCCTCTTTAAATTTTTTGGACCATCTCTGCTACCTCCAAAGAAACTTTGATCCAGTAAACAGATCAAAATCAGACCCAGCTTTTAAAGGATGAAGTTTTATTTGACATTTTGGTACCAAAAACAACTACACTGGGAACATGGGTTTTCCCATGACTTGGGTGAAACTTTAGAAAACAAATGAGTTTTTCATTCAGTGGTTTGTACAGTTGGTTGGAATGTCCAAAGCTTAGCAACACTCTCCCCTCTTCTGTGGTTACCATTTCCATTTTCTTTTCTTTTTTTTTTTTTTTTTCTTGTGGTTACCATTTCCATTTGTTCTTTCCTATTTCTTCCTGCCTTCTGAGCTTTGTCTCTGGGCAAATGCTGCCCTGTAATTGTAGATCTCCAGTGGTTGGTTGGGTTAGTGAGTGTGTATCTCCCTGGTGTCATTATTTACTTTCTAGACATATCTATTGTTTGGTTGCAAGTTATGCTATAGGGGTGTGTCTGTTGACTTTCCTAGATAAATTCCAGGAGTAATTTATGATGTTTAGTTGTAAATTCACATACAGTGAAGATCCCCTCCCTCCCCCATTATAAGTATACTTCCTTAGAGCCTTTGTGTTTGCTTCTGCCATGCTGCACTCCAGGGGTATTATTGTCCAAATCTGAGTAGTAGAGTATAGGTTTAGGGCCATAGTTTTTCACAGGCTTCTGCCTCAACCTTGATCTTATCCCTACGTTGGATATTTTTCTAGAGCCTTTTCTGCAACTGCACCCTGGTGAAAGTCATAGCTTTATACTCAGATTCGTCACCATCTAGTGTTTCTGACTCACAGCTGAACCTCCATCAGATTTCCAATCTGTAAATCAGAGAGGAGACTGCATGCCCATATTTTTTCTGCAGTGCCACTGGTCGATTTGAACTGCCAGAGAAGTGCAGGCTTTGGGTTGGCAACACAACCAGAGCTCCTTAACTTTATACAACTTCCTGATTCAAATGCAAATCCAGAATTTCCGGAAAAGTCAAGTTCTAGCTTCTAAAAGTTGAACAGTGAGTAAGGACAGAAGAATTGATGGCTTTCAGTTGTGGTGTTGGTGAAGAGTATTAACTCTCCTGTGGACGGCCAAGAGAACAAACAGGCTGTCTGGGAAGAAGGGCAACCAAGATGCTCCTTCCAGGCACTTCCTCTCACATGGGCAGGTTGTCAGGAGGGACCAGTATTTGGAAAAGAACATCTACTACTCATCTTCTTAGAAAGGTAGAGAGGAAGACCCTCAAAGATAGATTGACAGTGACTTGAACAGTGTGCAGGAGCAGATCAGAGAGGTCAGGATGATGTTGTTGTTGTTGTTGTTAAGTGCAGTTGAGTCTCAGGTGACTCATAGCGACCCTATGAGGATGATTTAGGAGAGGGCAAAGTTCAGATCTGTTGTTACTAAGCCACTCTGAGTCATAGTTGACTAATAGTAGTGCCAGTAAAATCCTTCTGGATCTGTTAATCTTCCCTTGGGCTATTTATGCTTTCCCTTTGAACTCTTCCTTCTCTATTCCTTTATGACATCTGAGGATTTATCTTATTTTCTGTGAACTGACCTTGTGAGCCATAGAGTCATAGCTGACTGTCATTATTCTGTCTTAGAATCTAAGCCATGATAATGAGCAGAACTGACCCTCTAGTAGGTTTTCACAGGCTGTAAATTGTGTGAGAGGAGTTTGCACAGCTTTCCTTCATGGACCTGCTAGTGGATTTGAACCACTTGCCTTTGGGTTGACACACAATTCCTTACCCATTAGGTCACCAGAGTTCCCGTAAAGGTGGCTATTATTCTTACAGTTCATCCATCATTTGTAGGTGTGGATTGGGCAGAATTTCTTTCTGTTGTACAGAAGTTGGTTGCTGTAAGCTGGAATTAGTAACACCTCACAGCAGCATGGTGGGAGTGGTGTCAGTCACATTAAATCAGTCCATTATGTTGCCAAAGCAGCTGTCTTTTCTTTCTCAGTGTCAGTTCTACTATGAAATAAAATGTGAACTCATAGAAAAAGAAATTTATTTCTATTGAAGATTCTAAGCCAGGATTATGAGGAAGGAGGGTTCATTCAGAGATATCAGCTGTGGTCATGGCAAATGTCACTGCAACTCGGTCTGTTCCAGTGGAATCTTTTTATTAGGGAAAGAGGTAAAAGTTGATAGGTTGTAGGTGTTCATTGCTGATGAATTCTAATTGAGTCATGACTGACTCTGAAACAGGTGTTTCATAGGATGAGATTGTTTGTCTTTCTCCCATGGAGCTGCTGGTGAATTTGAACCTAGTGACTTTGGGTTGGCAGTACTATTTCCTTGTCACTTTGCCACTGGAGGTCCTTGATAGACAGGTTAGAACTCTAGTATCTTACCACCTTGGAATTAGAGATGGAATTTTTCAAAGGGAACAAAGTGTTAAACTCTCCAGAAAATACTAACCTTTTGAAGGGAAGGGGGACATTCTATGTTTATCTAAAAGAAGTTAGTTCATGGTCTTGAGCTTATATAAGACCCTTCACTGAGGGAACCCTCCTAAAATCTTGCTTCTGCGGGAGCTGAGGTTTGCTGTTTGTTTTCTGATGATTGTTTCATAAAAAGTCAGTGTGACTATGCCACTCTTGCATCAACAAAGATTAGGGGAAGAGTGGAAAAAAAGAAGGCCAGAAAAGACAGATGATTATCTTTAGGTTAAAGTTCAAAGATGTTAGTGCCAGATCATCTTACCAGGATAGAGTCAGTCAGTATGAAGCTAGCTGATACTGATAATGTGTCAGAGAGAGGTAAGAGGAGATAAGATGAGCTCTTGATTGTTTCTGGACTTTGTTGCATACCACCTTCGAGTAAAAATCAGTCTCCATGACCAGTAAAGATCTTTTGCCCATCTTTAGGATCTATAGTATTGACAAGCTTTTTTCTGTTCCTGAGATTCAAGCCTAATTTGCTCTGCTATCATTTCTCAAGGGTGATGAATCATGCTATTGTGGTCCATCTCTCTGTTCCTAGAACTGAGCATGTTACTTTGCTTTTAGTGAATGTGTAGAAATTGTTTATTGGCGAGCTCTGGTGGCCTACTGGCAAGAAGCTGCACTGCAATCCCAGATATGTGAGGTTCGAATCCACCAGATGCCCTGCTGAAGGAGGGACAATCTCCTCCTGTGTCAGTCAGATCTGATTTGATGGTACACACATTAAAAAAAATTTTTTTTAAAAAGTAATAAAAAAAAGTTTGAGAAAAAA